ATCAGAAACTCAAAATTATATGTTATCTGAACTAAATAAATTATTTAAGTTGATTTGACAAAAGAAAAAAATGTTAAAATATTGTTGGTTTAACTTAAAAAGTAAGTAACCTGGGTTGCCTTAAAATTTTAAGTTGATTGAACTGGAAAAAGTGAGTTAATACAATGAAGGAGATTAATTTAACCATCAGAAACTCAAAATAATAAGTTATCTCAACTAAATAAATTTTTATAAAGTTGATTTGACAAAAGAAAATATGTCGTGATAACAAATCTTGAAAATATATTTTTTACAGTGTATAGAAGCAATCAGACCAGCAAGAGGGCAACAGTATACAAGCACTGTAACAAGTCTCATTTAGTCAGGTGCTGACGAAAAAGATGTCTTCATTTTTGCAAATGGCAGGTCATGCCACCAGCAGGAACAGTCCAGATAAAGGTCCGTGAAAGTGATGTTGCGTCTCTTTGGGATGATGGCAGCACTGAACTAGTGAGTTTCGGTACACTTTAGTGGCCATACAAATCCAAGTTTCCAATTCTCGCTTTCTTTGTTTAGTTTTCTGCTGAGTCGTTTGAATGACTTATTGTGACGAATCGGCCCTCGAGAGCGATTCGTTTCAGTTTTCACTGCTGCCCTACTAAGAAGCTGCTCTTATTCTCTCACTTATTTGCTTTCCTGACATCAGCAAAATGACTGTGCAAATGCTGATGCATTAGGCTCTTGGCAGACCGCGGCCTTTACGTGACGTCGGCTCTTCGGACACTCGATTGTTCATGCTGGGTGCGCTGAGGGGAGTACTAATATTAACCTCTAATTAATGAACCAAACCTTTATTAAAGGCCTGAGAGCTAAATGGGATCTCAGGAGCTACAGTATTGCCGTCTAATATGATAAAAGCTCGTTCAGATGATTAGATGATGGCATGCTTGTCTGAGGGAAACAAAGCAATCTGCATTTGATCAGTGTGTGGTCAGTCAGGCTAACAGTGCATAATGTGTCCACTAAAGTGAATCTTATGATATAAAGGGTTTATTCATGAACGTTATTTACCACTGCGGAAAACACTCAAGCTCGAATCTGTCGTAAATGTACTACACTGATGGAGTCTTTTATTCATATTAGATGGTAAAATACTTTTTTTCTTCTGCAGTCTGATGTTTTTCCAAGAAAGAAAATATTGGGCAGAATTGATTTGGATTTTGAAACGATTGATTGGAAGGTTGGGGTTAAAAAAAAAAAGCGAATGAGCCCATGTGGAAAATAAGTGCACTTAAAGGAGTAGCTCACTTTTAAAACTTTTGCTGATAATTTACTCACCCCCATGTCATCCAAGATGTCCATGTCTTTCTTTCTTCAGTCGAAAAGAAATGAAGGTTTTTGATGAAAACATTTCAGGATTTTCTCCATATAAAGGACTTCAATGGGGACCAAATGTTTCAAGGTCCATATGAGAGTTTCAGTGCAGCTTCAAACGACACCAGACGATGAATAAGGGTCTTATATAGTGAAACCATCATTTGGTTCATTCAACGAATTAACAAAACGACTCGAAAAAATATTTGTTCATTTCGATGAATGAGTTCGAACAGGAGAGTCACGAACGTACATCACAGAACAGAGCAGGGCAAGTATTTGTGCTTATAAAACTTAAACTTTTTTTAAATTATTTTTGAAATGAGCGATCGTTTTGCTTGATAAAACCCTTAGTCATCGTCTGAAATTGTTTAAAGCCCTTTGAACAGTTTGCAGTTTGCACTGAAACTGTCTTTTGCACCTTGAACCGTTTGGTTCCCATTGAAGTCCATTATATGGAGAAAAATCCTGGAATGTTTTCATCAAAAACCTTAATTTCTTTCCGACTGAAGAAAGAAAGACATGGACATCTTGGACGACATGGGGGTGAGTAAATTATCAGCAAAAGTTATTTTAAAAGTGAACTACTCCTTTAATTGTATTGAATGCACTTGTAGTGTATTAAAGGGATAGTTCATCCAAAAAATGAAAATCCTGTAATTTACGTTCCAAACCCACAAGACTCTTCATATTCAGAACAGAAACATTCGCTCATTTAATAAATAATTAACAAAGTTTAAGTTTTATAAGCTCAAATGGTCGTCTTGCTCTGTTCCGTGACTCTCCTGTTCGAACTCGTTCGAATCTTTTTCCGAGTCATTTGGTTCATTCAACGAATGAATTGACTCAGAAAAAGATCGGTTCATTTTGATAAACGAGTGAACCCTTCCACACCTGTCCTGAAATGCTTCAGTGTTTTCTGTTCCTTCTCATTCACTGCCATTATTTTTCTCTCTTTTTTTTCATTGATTTGCTGACTGGCATGAAATGAGAAATACCTTAGTTTGCAGTGGTGGGTACAGCACAAGAAGAGGCAGGTGCTCTGTGCGCTCGCGTGTGTGTGTGTGTTACCACGACAGGGAATGTTTAGGAGCTCTAGAGGTCAGACAGTCCTTTACTTTAAGTCAGCCTCACTGAACCCTGGAGGTTTTTTCATGTGCTAATGAACATGTATGTGTGAACACATCTCTCTCTGTTCAACACCTCTGTCTCTCCTTAACTCGATGACGAACATACTGGAAACAGTCGTAAATTATGAGTTTACGCAATTATACATGTTTTGAAAGGGGTGACATTTCACAAGTTGTTTAATCTGGATGAGTTCCTGAATTAGTTTTATTTTTTCTTCAAGTTGGCTAGACCTGATACGCTTGTAAAGGTAAGCATTCTTGCTTTGCATTTTTTGTGTGTGTGTGTGTGTGTGTGTGTGTGTGTGTGTGGTTGCAAATACGAGACCGATTCAAATTCTGCTAAAACGCAGCTGTAGCAAGATAATGGTGCCATTATTCAGCTCAGTTCAATTCAGCATCACTAAATGTAACAATAGTGTTATTATTCAGCTTCAGTCAAATCAATAACTAGAGTAAGAAGAACCCAAACTCCATCAGGTGACCGAAATGGAGGATAAAATCTTGGAAGAAACCAGTTCTCCTCTGGCCTTGATGAACGAACTCGATGTGACATGGACCGGGATACGTTACACGGGCATTAGATGGGAGGGAAGAGATGTAGTTGGTCACTTTGTACGGCTTTTATTCATTTTCAGGATATGAATTCTTAATATCAACAATTTAATTACTGATATCTGTAATTGTAACCATTGGAAATCAGTTGTTATCAAAAATGTTTCTACTAGTAAAAACTAAATTCTTGATATCAACAATTGATTTTTTTTCAGTGGAAGAAATATCATTTTTTGATATCAATAATTACATTGTTACTAGTAAAAATGTGAATTCCTGATATCAATAATTTATTTGTTAGTACACTCTTAGAAGAAAAGGTTCTATATAGAACCTTAAAAGGTTCTATCAGCACTACGTATTTGGAACCCCTAAAAGGTTCTATACACTCTTAAAAAAATGGTTCCTCTGGGTTCTTTATAGATCCCTGGGGTTCCATACTTGGCCAATAGAACCTTTTACCAAAAAAAATGGTTCTATATAGAACCATTTTGGAGTTCCATTATGAAGCGGGGATGGAACCATTTCTGGTTCTAAATAGAACCATTTCTTCTACACTCTAAAAAATGCTGGGTTGTTTTAACCCAACTTTGGGTCAAATATGGACTAACCCAGCCGTTGGGTTAAATTTTTACATTTAATTTTTAACCCAACATTTTGGGTTTGTCCATATTTGACCCAACATTGAGTTAAAACAACCCAGCATTTTTTAGAGTGTAAGAGTGTAGTTGAAATGTCTAATTATGACATCAACAATTTAATTGATATTAGTAACAATGTTCATTTTTTATGTCAAAAATGGCATTTTTACTAGTGACAATGCTAATTTCTGATATTATTAATGTGATTGTTACTAGTAAGAATGCTATTTTAGATATCTGAAATAATATTGATATCAGAAATACCTTTTCAGATATCAAAGATGAACATTTTTACTAGTAGCAATGTAATTATTAATTTAAAAAATGTTCCTACTACACTCTAAAAAATGCTGGGTTGTTTTAACCCAATTTTGGGTCAAATATGGACAAACCCGAAATGTTGGGTTAAAAATGTAATGTAAAAATTTAACCCAACGGCTGGGTTAGTCCATATTTGACCCAAAGTTGGGTTAAAACAACCCAGCATTTTTTAGAGTGTAGTAAAAACTAAATTCTTGATATCAACAATTGTTTTGTTTTTTTACTAGAAGAAATATCATTTTTGATATCAATAATTACATTGTTACTAGTAAAAATGTGAATTAATAATTTGTCACTACTTGAAATGTCTATTCTTGATATCAACAATTCAATTGCTATACTAGTAACAATGTTAATTTTTTTATATCAAAAATGACATTTTTACAAGACGACAATGTTAATTTCTGATATTATTAATGTTATTGTTAATACACTGTAAAAAGAATTGTTGGTTTAACCTAAAAAAATGAAGTAACCTGGTTGCCTTAAAAATTTGAGTTCATTGAAATGGAAAAATGTAGTTAATTAATACAATGAAGGAGATTGATTTAATCACCAGAAATCTGTTGATTTGACAAAAAAAAAAAAAAATCATGAAAATATTTTTTTACAGTGTAGTAAGAAAACTATTGATATCAGAAATACATTTTCAGATATCACAAATGAACATTGTTACTTGTAGCAATTGAATCGTTGATATCAAGAATTCGCATTTTTACTAGTAACAATAATTATTGATATCAAAAATGATGTTTCTACTAGTAAAAACTAAATTCTTGATATCAAAAATTGATTTTGAATGGCAGCCTATGGTGAGATTTCACTAGTAAAAATACAAACACAGATATCAGCAATTAAATTGTTGATATTAAGAATTAATATCCTGGAAATGAATAAAAGTTCAACCGGCTTGCCGTACACTTTGTGGCGCTTCAAAATTGCACGTTCTTGTTGTCTTTCTAAACCTCCTTGTGTTTTGTCTCTCTTCAGCACATCGTCTGCACCATGGGCCTGAAGTGGTACCCACATCCAGAAGTTCTGCACTGCATCAAAGGTTGTGAGGTAAGAAAGTCCAAATCCTCTCAAATGGCTCTCTATCCTGAGTCTTCCTCCCTCACTGGCGACACTCTTGCCTTGACCTCCATTTGCAGAGGCCCAAGAAGATTCATGAAGATGAAGATGTAGAGGAACTCGACGCTAAAGTCAGTATATGTGCAAGTGACTCTGATGTGACTCTTTCTCTCTCTGTGCTTGTCAACGCCTGTCACTCGGTTGGATTTGTTTGTAGTACGGATCTCTACAAATGTTTCTTGATGAGAAAGGATCTGCCAATGAAAAGATTCATTTTGAAGAAGACCGTTTTTATTTCAGCCTTAATTTTGACCTTTTTCTCTCAATTATGACTTACTATTCATTATATCTATATCATTATGAACTATATCATTTTGAATTATCAACATAATTCTGACTTAGTATCACATCATTTTGACTTTTTATCCCATAATTTTGAATTTCTAGCTCATAATTTTGTATCGTATAATTTAGACTTTCGACATAACCGTGACTTAGTATCTTAATTTTGCCTTTTTTTATGTTATAATTTTGACTTATGGCAGAATTGTTACTTTTTTATCTCAGAATTTTTGATTTAGGATCTCATAATTTGACTTTATAGCTCTTAATTCTGACTTCGTATCTTATTTCAACACTTGAATTACTAATTTATTACTCATTAATTACTTATTATACTTTGACTTATGACAGAATTGTTACTTTTTATCTCATAATATTTATTTAGTATCTCATCATTTGACTTTATAGCTCTTAATTCATACTTTAATTTCTACAGTTAAATTACAATTTTTCACATATTAATTACTTATTATACTTTATGACTTATGGCAGAATTGTTACTTTTTATCTCATAATTTTGAATTTCTAGCTCATAATTTTGTATCGTATAATTTAGACTTTTCTTCATAACCGTGACTTAGTATCTCAGTTTTGCCTTTTTATGTTATAATTATGACTTATAGCAGAATTGTTACTTTTTATCTCATAATTTTGATTTAGTATCTCATTATTTGACTTTATAGCTCTTAATTCTGACTTCTTATCTCATAATGTCAACAATTGAATGACTAATTTATTACTTATTATACTTTATGACAGAATTGTTACTTTCTATCTTATAGTTTTGATTTATTATCTCATCATTTGATTTTATTGCTCTTAATTTTGACTTTGTATCTCATAGTCAACAGTTGAATTATTTATTATTAATTACTTATACTTAATGATTTATGGCAGAATTGTTACTTTTAATCTCTTAATTTTGATTTAGTATCATAATTTTGATGTGTTGTCATAATTTAGACTACAATGTCAACTTTTTGTGTCTCATAACTTTGACTTATGTCGTAGTAAACGTGATACTGTTCACATACAAGTTTTAGATTGAATAATTATGCTTATTAAAGGGATAGTTCACTTTGAAATTAATTTTTGGTATGTTTTATCTTACCTCAAGGGCATCCAAGATGTAGGTGTCTTTGTTTCCGCAGTATTTTGGTCTATGGTCACCACCTCAAAGAGCATGCACAGAGAAGTCCAAATTAAACATGATTTAATGACTCGTAAATGTAAGTACACACTGATGGCCTAAGACACGAAACGAGCGGTTTGTGTGAGAAAACGAACAGTATTTATATAGTTTTTGAAAATACTGCGGAAACAAAGACACCTACATCTTGGATGCCCTTGAGGTAAGCGAAAACATATCAAAAATGTATTTTTGAACTAGTGAACTATCCCTTTAATGAATAATTCATGTAAGCGTTTTATCAGAAGTACAAAAAAAAAGTATTTTTTCTTCAAAATGGTGGGCCATACTTATGAGACACAAACAATCAAGCACATATTTCGGATGGCAATGCATCCGTGTTCATCATGTACAGTAGATCATGTTAGTGGTGCTCTGAGTTTCTCTCTCTGTTTTTATCTCAGCCTTTCATGGGTGACAATTACTGTGATGCCATCAACAACAGAGCCTACTGCAACTACGACGGAGGCGACTGCTGTCATTCCACTGTCAAGACTAAGAAGGTGCAGTACACGTCTTTTTTTTTACGTCAACCTTTTTTGTTAAAGAATTGCGTGTGTATATTATGTACGTCTAACATCAAAACCTCACTGAAACTGACTCGATTTGGTCAGTTTTGGTTATTCCGAAATGCCTGAGCCAAAGTCTGCCAAAGTTTATCAGTATAATTACCTTCCAGAAAGTTCTTACACAAATATGTTCCCAAATATCAGGTTTCTGCCTCCGAAAGCAAGATAACATGACCACGTTTATTGCGCAAAAAGTCATTTATTATATACACTGTAAAAAATATTTTCAAGATTTGTTATCACGACATATTTTCTTTTGTCAAATCAACTTTAGTTGAGATAACTTATTATTTTGAGTTTCTGATGGTTAAATTAATCTCCTTCATTGTATTAACTCACTTTTTCCAGTTCAATCAACTTAAAATTTTAAGGCAACCCAGGTTACTTACTTTAAGTTAAACCAACAATATTTTTTACAGTGTAGTAATCACAACATTTTTTGCTTTGTCAAATCAACTTAAATAATTTATTTAGATCAGATAACATATAATTTTGAGTTTCTGATGGTTAAATTGATCTTCTTCATTGTATTAACTCACTTTTTCCAGTTCAATGAACTTAAAATTTTAAGGCAACCAGGTTACTTAATTTTTTTAAGTTAAACCATCAATATTTTTTTTACAGTGTATAAAAAGTTAAAGTTTTTTTTTTCTCTGGCTCACTGGATCGAAATGATGCTATATGATGTGATAATCCAATTTTGCGCATAAGTTAAATTCACTTTGGATGGAAAAGTAGCTACTGAAGTATGAGATGCTCGTTGTTACCCACTAACCATCTGACAATTATTGCACACAAACACGTTCTGGCAAGCTCTAATCTGATTGGCTGCCTATACATATATTCTTGGAATGGGATTTCAGTACGCCTGAAAGCAAAGTTGTGTTTACAAAGTATCAGGTTGTTACGATGACCGCTTCTGAGAATCTAATCCCTGGATTTACCAATGTCTGCCAGGTTAGTGGCATGCAATCTTTTAAAGCGATTCAGAGTTTTGTTTGATACACTTTTTCACATTTCCCAGAATTACTTTGCACATGACCTGGAGTGAGTTGAGCGAGTTCTTGCCTATTATTATGGTATCATCTATTTAAGATAAAACTGCCCCTAGACCACTTGTAAAAACAAACTGCGATCAGTCATTCCTCATGTTTAGCTCAGCAGGTGACGGACAACAGCCAAAATAATATATTTTTAAAATTATTTTAAAAGGACAGGACATGCATCATGAATTCCTGTCTTGTTTTCAACTGGCTTTTGTCAGCCTAAGATTTGGCGGTGTCATTTTCAGCATAGTGTAAAAATAAAGTGTGAATGCCAAGATTTCACACACTGGAATTCCTAAGTAATATAGGAATTTAAAGGGATACTCCACTTTTTTTTGGAAATATGCTCATTTTACAACTCCCCCAGAGTTGAACAGTTGAGTTTTACCGTTTTCGAATCCATTCAGACGATTTTCTGATATTTAGAAGAATATCACCAGACAGTTTCTGGTCTCATTGACTTCCATAGTATATTTTTTTCCTATCATGGAAGTCACTTAGACCAGAAACTGTCTGGTGATGTTCTTCTAAGTATCAGAAAATCGGCTGAATGGATTCGAAAACGGTAAAACCCAACTGTTCAACTCTGGGGGAGTTGTAAAATGAGCCTATTTCCAAAAAAAAAAGTGGAGTATCCCTTTAAAATTGGCCTTTGTTCGCATAGATATCTATATAAAGGCTAGATGTCTTAAGGCGGAGTTTCTATCGTCATCACCGGCGGCCATCTTGTCACAGGTAAGCTGATGTAAGATGAGTGGTCAACACGAACACAAATACTCTTATCTCGTTGAAATGTTGACGGATTTACAAACGGTTTGGTTTCTTACAAACGTTATTAACGTGGCTATAATTATCTGGATGATTATTTATTTATACACATAAGTATGCTGTGTCATAACTACATCTCTGACGTTTATAACAAACCAAACCGTTCGAAAATCGGTAGAAAATTGAGCAAGTTATGGTTATTTAAATAGTACATGTACCATTAACACAATGTTACGAGCAGTGTTGGGTAAGTTACTCTAAAAAAGTAATTAATTACTAGTTACTAATTACCTCTTCAGCAGTGTAATTAGATTACTGTACTAATTACTTTCTCTAAAAAGTATTTAATTACTTATTACTTTCAAAATCCCAAATCTATCTCAACCAGCTGAATAATACAAGGATAGACGAATCTGTTTTAATTCTTTCAAATAAATACTATAAAATTGCACGAATTATCCTAAATCTGACCAAGGTGGAGAAGGTTACATTATAAAAACATACTTTTTAGCATCAGACAATACATTTTGATGTTAAACCCACTATTGTTTTATGTCTGATCTCATGACATTTCACACTTTTTTCATACATATTTTACAATAATTCGAGTGCGGTTGTAATATTTAGACACCTCATAAAATGCATACGAATCGCTGTGAGATCGGATTGATCTATACACAGTATTTACCTCAATTACATCAGAAGTAACTGTAATTAAATTACAGATAAATGAAGAGTAATCCCTTACTTTACATTTTCAAGGGAAAAGTAGTTAAATTACAGTAACTAATTACTTAGTAATTAGTTACACCCAACACTGGTTACGAGTGAGCGAGCTGCCTGTGACAAGATGGCCGCCAGGTGCAGACGTCGACCTCCATTGGCCAGCAGCGTGGACGACATATCTAGCCTTTATATAGATATCTATGTTCGTTCAATCCTAATTGAACGAAGGTCTAATCTCGGTTTTGTCTAAGCCCTCTCTGTGAAACTGAACCATTGGGTTTTGTAAAGAAGAATTCAGTGGTAAAGTCAAGCTCTTCTCATTGGATCTTGCAGCGCAGTTTCGAAATAGTCTGCTAGTCACTATTTCGAAGCCAATCAAAATGCATTTGATGTTCTTTATGCGCGGATACATTTTCAATTTGATTGAAACGATGTGTGGCGCTTTATTTGAGAACAGTTTTTTTCAGTAATCGCTCCCTTTACTCTCAAAGTCACTGGGTAATTTCCTTGTCTGGTTAGTTAGCCGGCTCTGGGCACTGTCATTGTCTTAAATATTTGGCATATGATCCGAGTGCGAGTGCATGAACAGCAATGATTTATTGAATCCAGTCTACAAGAGGATGTTTTGGGGAGTTTCACAATGCTCAGCCTACGTCATGGAGCAGACATAGGAGACATGTTAGCGGGAGCTGCTCCAGTGTTGATGGAAGGTTAGCTTGTTCTCCAGCTATAAGCCAGACTGCTGGTGTCTCCTTCCTTCTGATAGTCTGTCTCACACTTGGCAGGCGAACGTCAGCAGAATGGGACGAGATAAAGTAATCTTTTGATGAGCTCAAGCTTTTGGGTTGCGTTGCATTGCATTGTAACAGAATCGGTTTGCTCACTCCTGACGTCATGCATTTGATAGTTATCTGAGAAACGTTCTTGTAAATATTTCTCGTTTTAAATAATCCAGGTAAGGCACTATAAATGCACTATACAAACTTAAATGGTTGTAATTCAAGAATGCTTAAGAATATAGACCTAAGTTTGGTCTTGTTGTAAAGAAAACAATCAGCAGATTGAAAGCACATCAAAAAATTAAAGTATGAAAAAGTTATGGAAGTTATAATTTACAGTAAATCAAATATACTTTATTAATATATATTTTTTTATATAAAATAAATATTTTTACTATAAAATGAAAGCTATATATCTAAGCAAGTTGTGTTCCAAATTTAAAGTTGATATCACAAAAATTGAAGTTCCCATGAGATTTTGTTTAGGCGTAGTACCAAACATAGCCACCGGGTGCCATTGAATTCCGTTGAATTTAATCGTATGCATTCTGCCATAACAAATAAATACATTTCTACCCAAATATCACTTCTGTCACTAAATATGGAACCTCGAGACTCAGACCGTTCTGGCAATATGTGTTTTGTCAAGATTAGAAAAGGTTTTGATAATAAATTATGAAAGATGATGCCCAAAAGGGGAGGGGCCTAATACAAAATACAGTTTCTATGGCAACGCAACGTCCTATTTCAAAACGGTTTTCACAGGATGAAGTCTGAGTTCGTAAGCTTTCAAATGATACCTAATTTATGATAACTAAAAAACTAAAAAATGTCATATAATAATAATAAAAAAATATACTTTTTAGAGGACTTCTTACCTTACTTTTTAAAATATAATTTTATCTTTTTTTACTGACAAATACTAAATTATGTTTTATTATAAACTTTTAGCACTAAAAACCAAAGTTTCAATTATTAAAATTGTGTGCGTCGACTTTTTGTGACAAAGGTCAGAAACTCCTGTAATGACGTCGATTTTTCTTTGAGGCGCACTCTTGAAATAAATTCATATATTAATGTTCATTCATAATTTGTAAGAAAAAAAACAGTGCCAAAATATCTATTTAGGAGTCTTAGACCTTTCCAATGATATAGATTAGGATTTAATAGTAATATAGTAAGTAAATTTAGGTTGCCCGTATACGGGCAAGTGACAGTTAAGGAGGCCAAAATGCCCTTTTTGAAAAACAATATTTTGTACTGAAAAGTTTGAGTCTGTGTCTAATGTTGGGAAAATCGGAGAGTCACCTGGCATCCAGAGCCTAGATCAGCGTCCTGGCAGTCCTTGAAGCAAATTATATCAGCAGGGTTTTGCAAAACATCCTGTCCCTGGAAATAGCCAGGGTTTAGGGAAGAACTGGATAAAATAACTCTGAAAGAAGAAGAAGCAATCATATTGCAATGGAGAGTTGGATGTGATGAGGGGGGATCTGAGTCCTGGTGTTTGGCTCCAGGAGGTTGACTGTGTCCTATATTTGCACCACTTTATCTTTATCTGTCTAAATTCCCAAACTCATTCATACATTTCCTGGTCAGGCCCACAAACACGAGTGCA